GTTTGATGATCTGAAACATTAAAGTGTGACAAACATGCAAAAAAATAAGAAATCAGGAAGGGGGCCAACACTTTTTCACACCACTGTATGCATCTGCCCCAGACACTTTTATCCATTGCATTTAAATATTAATTTTTACCAGTTCATTCATTCCCTGGGAATCAAACCCATGATGCCATGATCCTAATGCTGTTTGTGCTGTTTCAAGTCATAAAACCCAAGAACATCTTTAACCAATAACAAAAAAAAGCAATGTTTGCCAAGCCCACACTGGTGACCAATCACAGGAGGCGATCTTGACGGGCTCATGCAGATCAGAGCAATAATGTGTTATAGCGTGATTGTTTGTTCATGAGTACTGTTGAGTGTTTTCAAACCAGGTTCTTGTTCCTCCTCCATCTCGTTATGCGCGCACTGGTGCTCGGCAGGTCATGTGATCAAGTGTTGGGCGACCCTTTAAACTCCGCCCACTTTACAGGGCGTCACGTTGCCAAAATAAAACCGAAACAGTCAAGGGAATCACAATAATCAGTGTTACATTCATTTTGTTTTTGTATTTTATTCACAGTGATCATACAGAAATAGCAACAGTAACATTTACAGTAAGGTCTCATTTGTTAACATTAATGTATGAACTAATGTGTAATATTTGTTACAACATTTAATAATAATACAGTTGTTCATGTTCACAGTGCTTTATTTAATGTGAACAAATACAATGTTTAATTTTACAAATGCATTAGTAAATTTTGAAATTAACATTGTAAGTGTACAACCAGGAATTATTTTATAATTTTATTATTATTATTATATTACATGAACTATTGCTTTTTTTAATTGAGGTCAAAGGAATTCTTTTATTTTAATAATTATATTAACTAATGTAAATGAACACAACTTTTCATTTAAAAATGTCTATTGTTAAATGTTGAAATTAACATTGTAAGTGCAAAGAATTATTAATTCTTATATTATTACAGGAAATTATGTTATTTTAATAATAATAGTCATAATATTAACAATGTTAGCAAATACGACTTTTCAAAATGTACGAAAATTATTCAAATTAAATCAAACTAAAACGAATAATGCTGTAGAATTGTTAGTTCATGTTAACTATAATTAGGTTCTATTTGGTAACTTTAGTTAATTAGGTTAGTTAAAACATGAACTAGCAATTCTACAGCATTTATTAGTCTTAGTTTATGTTGATTTCACAATTTACTAGTAAAAAAAGTTGTATTACAAGAAATTATTTAATTTATTTTAATATTATTACTACATGAACCGTTTTTTAAATTATGAATAACAAGGAATTACTTTAGATAATATAAAATTTAACAAAAATAATTCCTTGCAATGCAATTACAATGTAAATTTTAAGATTTACTAATACTTTACATTTTTTTATATTAAGTTGTATTTGTCAATTGTATTTTTATTAACGAACACTGACAAAATGCTGTACAAATGCTCACTGTTAGTTTATAAATTAACAAATGAGACCATATTGTGAAGTGTTACCACTGTAATAATGTGTGCTGAGATGTTTTTAATGTTAATATATTATTTATACATATTTTTACCGGACTTTGATACTGAATACATTGGCAGGGCATTAAAGGAAAAGTTCACCCAAAAAACAAACAAAAAAAAAAAAAAACATTTTTTTTTTTTTCTGACTTATTTATTCACCCCCATTTGTTCCAAACCTACATCTTATTTTTTTTTCTGTGGGTTATTAAAGGGATTTTAGAGACTTTTAAGCACTTTTCCAGATCATACGAATCATATGAATTCATACAGGTTTGGAACTGTATTTTTGACTCGTCTCACAGAAGAGCAGACGTCATCATGTTTTGAATGATTGATGTGTTTCTGTTTCCAGTCGCTAGCGTTTCTCTCTTCCGCTGCTGCTATTGGCTCAGAGAGCGGGAGGCATGTCGTGAACCGTACTGTCACTCCTGAATGATGTATGCAGATTCTCATGTAAACCAACCTAATAAAAGACACACAGCTGACGGTGCTGTCGTCCACATCTGAGTGCTTCGAGTCTCAGTCACACATGAAACTCAGAAGTGAATTATACAGAGTGCATGTACTTGTGTATTCAGTGTTTGTGCCACAGATCGATGGCTTTAGTGACGCTGGCGTCTGTTCTCCTGCAGCATCTGTACAGAGAGAGGAAGAGATCAGAAGCGCTTTAGCAACATTTATATGTATATGTAGGTGCATAAAAACATGAAATAAAATAAAAAAAGGTAAATTACAGAAACAACAGAAAAGGGAATTTTCTGGGTTTAATTTATTCATATTCTATTCAACATCATTTGTGGCGAAATTGTATTTAATATTATTAATAAAATAAAATACAACATTTATAAAATAAACAAAAATAATAAAATTAATTAATTGCTACTCAATTAAAAAAAACAGTATAATAATAATAATAATGAAAATGATATTTAATATAATAAATAAAATAATTTTTCCTCATTAAAAATGGTAGTTCATATAATAATAAATGAAATAATGGTATTTAATATATGAAATAAAAAATAAAATAATAATAAAATTATTCCTCAATTAAAAAAACGGCAGTTCAAATAAAATAAATAATGTTATGTAATATTTTAATAAAATAAAAAGAATAAAGTAATTCCTTGTTCCTCAATTAAAACAGGAAATCTATATAATATTAATAATGTTACTTCATTGAATTAATAAAATAAAACAAATACAAATATTTGTTGTCCCTCAATTAAACAAACTAGTTCATATAATAATAGTAATCAAATAAATAAAATAATGTTATTTTATATAATGTAATAAAATAATATAATATCAATAATAATAATCAACTAAATTATAAAATAATTAGTGAAAGTCTATGGGATGAGAGTACTGGAGGATTTAAAAGATAAAAAAATAATAAATTTACTTGAAAAGGGTCATAATGCAAAGATTAATTAAGTACATTAATAAACATGAACCTAGAACATTTCTGTAAACAAACCCATTTTTGCCATTACATGTAACTGAATGAATGATGTTTGCGGCTCACGTTAGACAGGAAGTTGTAAACTCCATCCGGGTCACTCATTCCCATCAGCATGATCTTACAGCTGAGCAGAATCTCCACGGCAACAAACACCTGGGGCCGCATTCATGAAAAATCTTAGTGCTAAGAGTTGCTCCTAGGAACAAAATTCTAAGAAAATTCTTAGAAATGTGGGCGTTTCCTCTTAAAATGAAAGAAAAGCTCCTAGTAAAGAAAACAGAAGTGAATTATACAGAGTGCATGTACTTGTGTATTCAGTGTTTGTGCCACAGATCGATGGCTTTAGTGACGCTGGCGTCTGTTCTCCTGCAGCATCTGTACAGAGAGAGGAAGAGATCAGAAGCGCTTTAGCAACATTTATATGTATATGTAGGTGCATAAAAACATGAAATAAAATAAAAAAAGGTAAATTACAGAAACAACAGAAAAGGGAATTTTCTGGGTTTAATTTATTCATATTCTATTCAACATTTGTGGCGAAATTTTATTTAATATTATTAATAAAATAAAATACAAAATTTATAAAATAAACAAAAATAATAAAATTAATTAATTGCTACTCAATTTTAAAAAAAACAGTATAATAATAATAATGAAAATGATATTTAATATAATAAATAAAATTAAATAATTTTTCCTCATTAAAAATGGTAGTTCATATAATAATAAATGAAATAATGGTATTTAATATATGAAATAAAAAATAAAATAATAATAAAATTATTCCTCAATTAAAAAAACGGCAGTTCAAATAAAATAAATAATGTTATGTAATATTTTAATAAAATAAAAAGAATAAAGTAATTCCTTGTTCCTCAATTAAAACAGGAAATCTATATAATATTAATAATGTTACTTCATTGAATTAATAAAATAAAACAAATACAAATATTTGTTGTCCCTCAATTAAACAAACTAGTTCATATAGTTCATATAATCAAATAAATAAAATAGTTATTTTATATAATTAATGTAATAAAATAATATAATATCAATAATAATAATCAACTAAATTATAAAATAATTAGTGAAAGTCTATGGGATGAGAGTACTGGAGGATTTAAAAGATAAAAAAATAATAAATTTACTTGAAAAGGGTCATAATGCAAAGATTAATTAAGTACATTAATAAACATGAACCTAGAACATTTCTGTAAACAAACCCATTTTTGCCATTACATGTAACTGAATGAATGATGTTTGCGGCTCACGTTAGACAGGAAGTTGTAAACTCCATCCGGGTCACTCATTCCCATCAGCATGATCTTACAGCTGAGCAGAATCTCCACGGCAACAAACACCTGGGGCCGCATTCATGAAAAATCTTAGTGCTAAGAGTTGCTCCTAGGAACAAAATTCTAAGAAAATTCTTAGAAATGTGGGCGTTTCCTCTTAAAATGAAAGAAAAGCTCCTAGTAAAGAAAAAAGAAATTCAGAAAGCATCTTAACCCTTAAAAGAAGTCTTAAGGTCCAAAATTGTTAGGAGTACGGACGAGGACTTTTAAGAGGCTTAAGAGTTTCTTTAGCAGAGGAGAACATGGACGAAACGTGAAGAGGGAGAAGAAATGTGTTGCACACAATGCATGACAGTGAGTTAATGAGACGCTACACATTAGATGGTGCAGTGATCATGTTTGTGACCGATCTTATTAGAGACACGCTAACATCTCCGACACCGCGCAGAAATGCGCCAGAAATGAAAGTAAAGTAAATCACTACATGAACATATTTGGCAACTGGAAAAATGCAACTATGCATCAGTGATGATTTGGGTCCGTCACGACCTTCTATAAGCAAAGTGATCACACAGACAATTACAGCACTTTCAGAACCTTACTGTGTCACTGTTCATTTCCTATTAAATGTGTTACGTATGACAGCAAGGTAAATAAAAAATAAAGAACATATATACATATATAATGTGTGTGTGTGTGTGTGTGTGTGAGAGAGAGAGTACAGTAAAACAGGAAAAATTACACCTTCAAAGTGAAGGCTTATAATAGACCCTACTCTTAAAAGCGCTCTTTTATTCCTTCTTAGACAACCAACCAATCACGATCTTCCAAAGACCGTGTCACAGCTAGCAACGGGGTCAGCCCCGCCTCCTCACTAAGATAAACGTTTTGTCTTTTCCTCGCTCAGAGTTGCTCTCAGATTGGTCCTGAATCACTTTTAAGCTAAGACTCCTAGTTAGAAATTTTAAAGCTAAATTATGAGCTCTCTGAGAGGAGGATTAGAATCTTTAAGAATACGGGCCCAGGATCTTACAGGATCCCAAACCCTGCCGACCAATCACAGCACAGCACAGTCCATCAGGCAGCCAATCACAGCAGACAAAAAATTGTGTGACATGTAACATTGATAATAATCAGAAATGTTTCTTGAGCAGCAGATCAGCATATTAGAATGATTTCTGAAGATCATGTGACACTGAAGACTGCAGTAATGATGCTGAAAATACAGCTGCGCATCACTGGAATATATTACATTTTAATAGATATTCACATAGAAAACAGCTGTTTTACATTCTAATAATATTTCACGATTTTTCGAAAGAATAACGAGAGAAACTTTACATCAATGAGACGAAAGAACTTCACATGGATTATTTTTGTGGTATATTTATGATGTTTTTTGTAGGTTTTGGAGCTCCATATACGACTTTGGAAAGACATGAGGGCTAGTAAATGTAAAAAAATGTATAAATAAAACTGATATTTTTTTATTGAAGAGTCAAAAAAGAAAATCCGGATGGTTATTGAACTCTTAAATCAAAATTAAAAATGCATTAAAAGAATAAAACAATAATAACGATGATGTTAATAATAACTGTTATTATTTATTATTGTGTTAAAAGGAAAAACATGTAAAATTATTGAACACTTAAACATTAAAAAGCATACAAATTAATATAAGAATGACAACTTATTATTTGTTGTATGGTCAAAATGAAAAAATAACCACTTAAACCAACATTAACAACAACAATTACTGTTATTACAGTATTAAAATAAATAATTTTTATAATAATAATAACATTATATACGTGTTTTTTTTTTAATTCTGTCAAAAAGAAAAAGTACAAATCTGTTCTGGATGGTTAATTAACACAAACATTTTTTATAAAGTAATAATAATGATAGTAACACCAACAACTGATATTACAGCTGATTATTTCAGCGTCAAAAAGAATAAAAAAATTAACAATCTGTTTTGCATGGTTATTACCTCCTAAACCAAAAGTTAAAAAGCGTAATTAATAAACAATATAATCACAATTAATAAATAATAATATTATTAATAATAATAACTGTTAATATTTATTATAGTGTTTAAAAAATAAGTAAAATGATTGAACACTTAAACCAACATTAATAATCATTCAAAATAATCATTCAAAAAGTATATAACAACAACATTAACGTTAAGTGTTATTATTTATTATAGCTTTAAAAAATAATAAAATCAATAATATGTTCTGCATGGTTACTGAACACTTAAACCAACATTTAAAAAATCAGAAATATTATTATTAATAATAATAACTTTTTTTTTTTATCATAGTGTAAAAAAAAAAGAAAATAAATAACTTTTTTAACAGATTAACATGTACCAGGTGAGGGATGGAGTCTCCAAACTTGAGCTTGAACTGGTTGATGAAACATCTGATACACTCACACACACTCACACACACACACACACACACACACACACACACACTCACCCACCTACACATACACACACACAAATATATAGAGTATGCATTAATATTGTTAATATTGTTTGAAATAACTTTTACCATTATGATTTTATTAATGAATTACTTATATATATTATTTACTATTATTGCTTTTTAATCTGTTATGCACCTTCAATTACTTCTATTTACTGTAACTAATTCCACAAATATAGAACATATGAATATAACTTATTACTTTTTAAATATTGTTATTATTATTACTTTTATTTTAGACTATTAGTTTTGTAATTATTTTATGTAAAGCACTATGAATTACTATTGTGCATGAAATGTTCTATATAAATAAACTTGGCTTGTATAGTGAGGCTTTTCTAGTTTACTGTAATGTAAGTATTGATATCAATATAAATGAACAGTGTGTCACAACAAAGTGAAAGACTCAGAAAGTGAAATCTAATACACACAGACATTTCCATTCTAGCTGATTTATGTTGTTTGTATAAATCACATGTTTGAAATGCTTTACTGGACTAATTGAGCTGGAGGTCGTTAGCGGCTCACCTCGTTTATCTCAGAGTGACTCCAGGACTCGAGCAGCTGGAACTGCTGGGTGTTTTTGTCCACGGTGAAGTTCACGAGTCCTCGAACCCGCTCCACGCTGACGTGATGCCAGTGCTGATCGTCCAGCAGACTGCCCAGAGACACCAGAGGGTGGAAATCAGCCCACAAACCCCGACCTGAAACACACACACACACACAGACAGACACAGACACAAACACAGACACAGACAGACACAGACAGACACAGACAGACACACAGACACAGACACAGACACAGACACAGACACAGACACAGACACAGACACAGA